ATATGTTTTAATAGTGACTCAATTAATTGCGTCAAATAATTGCGTCAATTGCGTCAAGGATCTATGAATTTCAGCAATATGTATAGTTAGAATAGATGATAGCTTTTTATTCTTTTTCTTTGTCAAAAAATTCCTTTTTTATTTCTTTTTCCCCTTGCGTAGTTTTTACAAGAGAGGGTGACACAATTTGAATTTATGGTTGTGACTGTGGAGGTGATCTGCAGGTGCTGATTCTATCGGAAATTTGAGATCTTAATTCCATCCTTTAGGGGAACAATATATCATCCCTATAAATTGCATCTAGAGGCTTTGACTAAAGACAGGTGAGTTGGGTTGGGGAAATTTGTACTTTGTATATATTCTTGTATGTATAATGGTTCTTTATGATTTAATAAATAAACGACACCAATCTGATTGCAGAATTAAAAAAAAAATAAATAAATAAAATAAAATAAAATAAAAAAATAAAAAAACTCTTTCCCACTCACTTTTCTATGCTTAAAAATTTTCTTTTTAGGAAACTTTTGAGTTGTTTACTTTTTTCATTTTCCCCTTTTCTTTTCCTTCTTACCTCAAATCTCCCATATCTTTTTATTCCTCCTCCCCTATTCTCTTTTCTCTCTTCTATATACTCTTTTATTCACTTCACCCTCACCCCTTCTCTTTTCTCCTTCCCTGCCAAAGTTAGGTTTTCCCTTCTTCCTGAAGGTTTTCTTTCTAGGCCTCTCTCTCCTTTATAAACTTCGCTCTCCATAACATCACTCCTCTGGCCAGTCGGTTCCTTTTTCTCAAGACCATATTCAGAAGTGGTTTTTCTCTCAAGACATGGGCTTCAGAATTTTTCTTTCTTCCATGGTCTTACAAAAAAAGGACAGATGGTTTACCCCTCCAAAAGATTGGCATGGTCATCATTACCAAATCTGGTGTTGTTTACTTGTTGATGGTCAGACTAGATATATCTAAGAAACCGGTGTACAACTATTATTATCTGAAAGTATCCAAGGAGTTGTGCTCCACAGTATCCAGAGTGAAATGGCAGCCAATGCCAATGTAGCTAACAATAAGCTAGGTTAGTGTGCAGGTGTCATGCTGGTGATTGGAGAAGTCAATAGGATAATACGTGAAGACCAGGGATTCTAGTTACCCCCGCAACACAAGCTGATGATGACAACAAAAGTTTCTCACTTATCCCTCTGACAATGTAGGCTCATTGTACAAGGTTAGGTATCAACACCTCTAAGAAAATCCAACCCCACTACATATTCAACATCTTCTTCAACAAACTACCACTTTACATCCAACCTATTTTCTACACTCACCGGTTCCACCTTATCTTAAAATCAAGATATACCCTCCAAAACTATTCTAACAGCAAGATTAATTGTCGCCTCTCAGCCTACAATCCTAGTGATGGGTTTCAAAATGGAAGGTCTATACTAGGTAAAATAGTAAAAGATTAATATTGCCAAAAGGTTGCATTGATGTTAAAGACGATTGTTGCCTTCAAGTCTTTAGTCCTAGCGATGGGTTCAAATGGAAGGTCAATGCTAGATGCAAATGGTGAAAGATCTGCTTTATTTTGATGTATTTGGTATTAGTATAACTTGAAACCAACTCTTGCCCTATACATGTTGTTGAAATTCGTAGATCGATAACACAATTGATGCAATTATTTGACACAATTAATTGAGTCACTATTAAAACATATAAATAATTGAGTCATAACGCAATTATTTTTGAGGATTTTGGGAATTGAGTTAACAGCAAAATAATTTACACCACATGTATATCTTGCCCCACTTGTCGTATATCAAGCCACAGTTGGAAAACAAGTGTGCCAATCCTAATTATGACTTGGAGACCAACCTGTATATAGTGGCTGCAGTGCCTTCATGTAATTAGGTAATCAAATTCTCTAGGTAGTTAAATGCCAGTCAAAGCATAATATAGGTTTTGAATTTTCTTTTTCTATAGTCTTGAGTGATGCTAAGAAGCTCAGGCGGATAGGCCGCAATTGTGAGCCTTGCATTAAACTCTTCCTAGCAAAAAGAGATGTATACTACACCATAAGTTTGTAAATCTTGTACTCACAAGTCTAAAATTTATAATAAAAATAGTGCGTGAGGACTGTCTGTTCCTTTAAAAAAAAAAAAAAAAAAGATAATTTATAAATTAAAAAAACTCTTTCCTGATCACGTCTATTTTGTTAAAAATTTTTTTTTATGATAATTTTAAGCAAGAAAAAATGGTTTATACTTTTTATCACAAGTGAGCCCTAGCTCAGGAACTCAAGAACCTTCAAGACAACTGGTACAATAAGATGGGACCTCTAATCAAAGTCTAATCAAGTTTGAAAGTCTTGCTTAGTTTTCGGTTACATAAGGAAAGGCCTATAGCTATTTTCTTTTCTTTTGTTCTCTTGCATCTTCTTTACCCTTACTTTATTATAAAAACTATCTATATTATCACCATTATACTTACTAAACAAAATATTTTCCAAAACATATACTCAAATAGAGTTAGTAGATCTACTGTTTGTTTCAAGTCAATTCTCAAATTCAATCTTATCATAGTGACACTTGCTGCACCACCTCAAACTTTTCAATATTTTTACTTGGCCAAAAAACTGAAATCATATTAGGAAATTTTTTAAGCGAAGGAATTCTACATATCTCCATCATCGTTAAAGATCTCTGGAGAATCAAAAAAATATATATAAATTTCGAAAATCTCTGAAAAATTATTTTCTCCAAAGATTATTAAAGGTTTTCAAAAGTTATTAAAATATTTCAAACATTTGCGAAAACCTTCGATAATCTTTAGAAAAAATAATTTTTCAGAGATTTTCAAAATTTATATATATATATTTTAATTCTCCAGAGATTTCTAACAATGGTGGAGATATGTGAAGATATACAAAGTTCCTTTGCTCAAAAATTTTCTGATGCAGTTTATCTCTTTCAGATGATCAGTGCTTTCCAATCATCCAATCAGATTTCATCTAAAAATTAAAACAAAAACTGAACTTGTTTAAACCAGTTTTGTATCACAATAACAACAATCACAATAATAACTAGGGTTCCGAAAAAGTACCGAACTGGTATCAAACTGGTATCGAAATGGTACCGATATATAGTAAATTTAATATATGGGTTGTGACCTACTCATATGTTTTTATAGTAAATTTAAGTATCGAACTGGTATCGAAGTGGTATTAAAGTGGTATCGTTAGGAGCCCTAATAATAACGTCAATTACATCACCATTGATAACTATAACAACAAATAATATTATGTATATTTTATTATCTATGGTAATCAAAGAGCTAGAAAGATGAGACAACAAGTCTGTTTGGGAGTTTTCTTAAGAAAATAATTGGTTTTCTACTTATAGATTCTATAGTCTACTTTATTTAGTTTTAGTTTTAGTTATATTTATTTATTTTTCCTTTTCAATTACTTTACTTATAAATTTACAAAAAGACTTTACAAAATTTTCTAAGTAGATAGACATAACCACTATTCAGACACAGCTAATATATAGTATTGTTTTGAATTTCTTTTCAATATTAGTTAGATGTGTATATGTAGGCAAGCTAGCATTTAACTTGCTACTTTATATATATAAGAGATATTATTTCTTTACAATATATATCATGTTATATACAATATCAAATAAAGAAATGATGTTTACCTATGGGGAAAACCCTCTTCAAAAAAAAGATAATTTACAAATTATAATTTTATTTAATAAGATAATTAATATATTGTTTCTATAAATTTTATTTAAAAACTTAATATGATAAACAAATAAGTTAAATTTAAAGAATATATATTTATAATTTTAATTGTAATAGATTAAATTAAATTAATAAATAAATAATTTCAACTTAATTAAAAGTTTAAATAATAATAATAATAATAATAATAATAATAACAATAATAACATAATTTATATTTATGTTATAATTAAATATTTTATAATATTAAATTAAAATTAAAAAATCAATATACAGTATATAAATAAAGAAATTTATTTGCATAAATATTTTTTAAATAAATTCAATTCATATGTTATTTATTTTTATCAATTGATTAAGTAAAATCTTAATATTAAACACAATAATATGAATGTTGAAAAAATAATTTATGAAAATACAGTATAAATTGTAAACCAATTGGTTTTTCGATAACGTGGCTGAAATCATTATCGTATTTGATTATTATAATGCAAAAGTATTTATAGCAATATATAAAAAGTTTTTTTTTGATCGTGTAACATTACATTACATACAGTATCTCTTTAATCGCAAGTGATCAAATATTTTTTATGTAATTAATTTACTATAATAAGTAATTCTGTCGAAAAATCTACAATGAAATGGTACTAATGGCAATATATTATCTAACACTCGGAAGTTTAAAGAGAGCGAAATAATTTTATCTATAAAATTAAAGAACATTCTCGTATAAACAAATTCTTTTACGATACATAATTGAAAAAAATAAACATTAATTCTTTAAAATTAGGGTTAGATTGAAGGCTAATAATAATTATGAAAATTTTTATACAAAATAAAATATTGATGTCAAATAAGCGATCCTACAAGCAACCCAATAAAATGGGTTATTACAGAAGAATTAATCCTTCATTCTTTTCACAAAGTGATGCTATAGGAACACAATATAATATTAACGGACAATTCGTAGGAACATATCATGGAATGCGTCAAAATTGTCCACGAATATAACGAATACGCCATGTAAACGGCTCCCGGTATATTAAAATTCTTTCTTTTTCTCATCAATGGAAATTCCACCAGGACCCATATTCACCAATAACAGTAATCCGCCAACAATACTAAGAGTTTGGAAGAAATCATACTTCAAAAAGTCACGTTGTGGATTTGCATGATGAACTGACCAGAAATTATTGATGAACAAATTGAAAACCGAAAGGGACAGAACCAAAAATGTAGCCGACCACTTGGCCTTGAAACCAACAACCACCATTATGCAAGCAGCAAATCCTATGAGGGAGACAATAGCTCGAGAGTAGGACCATTCCCCATGGAAAATAAAACCTATGAACAATAGGATCAATAAAACGCGACCAAAAAGTTGGAAGTACGTTTTACGATCTACTTCGGATAATTGCGGAAGACCAGGAAAGACTGATTTCTTTTTGGAAAACGCGTCAGAAAGAACCATTAATAGGCCACCAATCACAGATAAGCTTCTTAACAGAAAATTGAATTCATTCCAAAGACCGTAGCCAATCGATTGGGCTACAACAACAAGGAAAAGGCCGCCGACAGCGTATTCGGGGTATTTTCTCCTAACGACTAAGAAAGATCCTACAAACATGATCTATCATTATCAATAGCAACATAATTCGGAAATTGGGAACATTAATTTACAAAGGATATTGTTTAGGGCTCAATCGGAAAAATTTCTCAGTAGTCATTAACTTACGACGATATTACTCGCCAAAAAAAGGTGCGAACCACCCCATGGAATTCCTCTAACTCTCTCTAGATAGAACAATTGATCTTCCCATTGAAACAATATCCTGAACGCGTCTTCCAAAAACGTTACCACAACGAGGAAACGAGCGATTGCAGGAATGAAGGGTTTCAGCGGTTGAGAGATTGTACCAATAACATCTTCCGCCTTCGACGTATATTGTCTAACTTGATCCATTAATCTCTATTATTATAGGTAGGTTATTATTCTATCGAAAAAGTCACTTTAGTGCTAGAGGTTATATAATAAATTTTGAAACGAAGACCCCTCGACGATTGTTAGAAAGAGCCACTTGGAACAGACTTGATGATATATCAATATTTAACGTCTGTTCATCCTACTACATTCCCTAATAAGGGCTAATTTTGAAAATCTCAGCCTCTCTTAAGTAAACACGTATCAATTTTTTTTTTAAAAAAAATCAGCCAATAAAGTTTCAAGATTTCAGCAATCAACTTGATAGGCTACCGATTAACTATATATTACTTATAGTAAAAGTTTGGTTATAGATTAGCCTTTAAAGATCGAACAAACCCCGTATAACCTTTTATCTTAGATAATTTAATGCCGAATTATTTGATTGGTAAATTGTGCATGTAAAAAATGCCTTTTTCTTATTTCAAGATTCTATATTCCGTAAACCCTATGTTCGAAAATTAAAACAATTAAATTACTCTATATTCCAATAAAAAATTCTATTTTTTTAGTCCCAATCATCATCGTCGTCTTCATTTCCTTCGGAAAATCCGAATATAGTTTTGCGCTCTTGTTTCTTTGGATCCTCGGGCAGTGATACGACACCTGTTAGAAATCGAGTTAAGATTAGAAGTAGATAGAAGATAGTGATAATATAAAAATAAATAATATTTACCACTTCGAGATAAACGCAATTCAAGAGCTTCTGTTGTAAAAGAATCTGTATTCCCAAGTTCTTCGAAACCGACGATCCTAGAAATAATAAAGTAAATACGGGTAGTTGGGTGTAAAATCCATCCAACGCCCAGGAGGATTTTCACTTCTTACCTATCAACGACAATTCCATCGACAAGACACATCACACACGGTAAAACTTTTATTGCTAATTTTTCTACCAAGAAAGGTGCATTCTCGACATTGATTTTTACAAATTTAGTTTTGAAGTGTCGGTTTGCGATTGTCTAATAAAAAAATAGTCAGATTAGATATTAGATATTATTTGTTCTGAGAGACATGGGTCTATCTGTTCAACCATATTTTCCTACGAACCGTGAGATGTTTATCCATAATTTGACATCTTCGAAACTCTTTGTGAAAATAATGTACAACACATAATTTGGTGCTGGTGGTTATCTCAATTACTTCTTTCTCGCTCGAAATTTCAGTGTAAGATCCATGACCCTTCTGATGCAATTCCTGAAGTTCCGTCATTCTATTCGAATCAAGATTACAACAAACTTGGGTGAGATTATACAATTTTCATAAAAAAGTTGAAATGTCTTTAAAGGATATGCGCATACTCTCGTTTCAACTGTTTCATCCTTTGTTCGCGAAAACTAGCGATTGCAAAATCGTCGTCCTTTTCCAATTCTTCAAATATATCATCTTCGGTTAACGCGTTTTCACGGTTATTGGCTTCGGAAACTTCATCAGCGAGATTTTCTTGCGCTCTAGGTTAAAGCAACAAGGTGATTATATAAATTTAATTTAAGAAAACGGATCGTGAAGAGCGCTTAAAAGAAGTAGGTACGTTTCTTGCTCGTTGTATTCACTGCTCGACATTTTAGAAATTATAATAAAGATTAAGCTCGTTTATATGTGACGATACTAATTTCTGATAACAGATAAGTTGATGTGCCAATTGACACGTGATATATAAATATATAGTTTAGGGTTCTCAATATACATACAGTATATCACAAGAAATAGTATAAAAAGAATTAATATAAATGAAATAAATCTTGTTATAAATTAAATTATACAATTTAAAATACGTTTTTATTTGCATAATATTTAAGATCTTTCATTACACAACATCTTATTGATCTTTTTTATTGGTACTTTGGATTTAAAAAATTAAATATCTGGTCTACCCAATCATCACGATTGGATTAAGAATATATATTACTTTTTTTGGCTCGCGTGAAAATCATGGATATTATAACAAGAAAATACCTTCTTCGTTCGCCGCTATTTCGTTGTCTGATATTAGTTTTATTCATAGCATTCACAACCCTATTCTACTTGCGACAGTATTCGCCACAAGTCTTCTATGGTAATACACCCCGCGAGGTCTTCCTGACGAAAGAATGGATAGATCCAAGAAAAGATAAAAGTTTATATCAAAATGTCACCAGAGTAAACGCGGCGATCGTAGTATTAGTCAGGAATAGTGAACTGTATCAAATCCGAAGTTCAATGAGACAATTCGAAGACAGGTGGAATAAGAAATTTAATTACCCCTACGTCTTTCTAAATGATGAAGAGTTTACAGAAGAATTCAAAGTTTTCACATCATCGTTGACCAAAGCAAAAACGCAATATGGTAAGCTTTCATTAGAGAATTTTCGTTTGGTTTTGATGTCAATCATCTACCATAACATATTGAATTATATCTTATTTTAAGGTGTAATACCAAAGCAAATGTGGAGTTATCCGCAGTGGATTGATCAAGAAGAAGCAGCAAGGACGAGAAGAGAGATGGAATCGAAAGGTGTCATATATGGTGGATCCGAATCTTATAGGCACATGTGTAGATTCAATTCAGGATTCTTTTTCCTACATCCGCTTCTATTACCATTCGATTATTATTGGAGATTAGAACCTTCTGTGGATTTTATGTGCGATCTCGATTATGATCCATTTTTGTTTATGAAAAAAAATAAATTGGTATACGGATTTACCATAAGTCTATTGGAATTCGAAGCTACCATTCCCACTCTTTGGAAAACGGTAAAAAAATTTGTAGAGGAACACCCGCAATATGTGTCCAAGGATAACATCATGGATTTTATATCTGACGATGGAGGAAAAACTTACAATCTGTAAGAGATCTGCGCTCCCTGTTTATTGTAGATGTTAATGATGTATCAATCAATTTACTCGTGTATTTTATTCACGACCACAGCTGTCATTTTTGGAGTAATTTCGAGATTGCCGATTTGAATTTTTGGAGAAGTTCACCCTACCGAGAATTCTTTAATTACCTTGATAAATCGGGTGGATTTTTCTATGAGAGGTATTGAGCACATTCACGTTTTAATCACTTGTTCGTTCAACTTGTCTGTCACTTTATAAATTTTCTTATGAAAATGTATAGGTGGGGCGATGCACCGGTACACTCGATAGCGGTTGCATTGTTTACGCAGAAATCAAGAGTTCATTTCTTTAATGATATAGCATATAGACATGCACCATATGCACATTGCCCTGAAGAAAGAGAGTATCACGACACTGGAAGATGTCATTGCAATCCAGGCGATAATTTTGGTACGCTATCTTAATTACTTTTCGCTTTTTCGAGTTTCGTAACTAATCTTTATTTTTTCGCTCACCATGTCATAGATTCCGATTGGTATTCTTGTACCTTAAAGTGGTTCAAAGTGTAATTTTTTATTTTCTCTGCATTATCATAGACATTTCTATTTAAAAATCACCTGTTACCTACCCCCAAAAGGGAATATTTAAAAATATATAGTAATAGATGTTCATGTGCCTTTTCTCAACAGAATCCAATTATAGCCAGGCGGGCTTGAATTTTGGATCATAGGGTACATGTTCAGAGAATATTTCAATGAACTAAAATAACAAAGTTTTTATATCATTAATAAAGAGTAAATATATCATCTGTTTTACAAATGAAATAATTTTGGACACTAAACTTCCTGATCGGGTAGGACTTTTGTACCCGCGAATCGTCGGTATTCATCGAAAATCGAGGTCATGGACCATTTCTGCAATTTACGAAGACATCCCACCAGACAACCAATTCTGTGCTACCATTATCAAACTGAAAGATGAGCGTAAAATATGAAAGATCGAATAATGTATGGCAAAGGAATTATTCACCTTTCCCTTGTTACAATGAATCAACACTACAAATGGTAAAAAAAAAGTTATTCATCTCGGCTAGAATCAAGGGTCACAGACTGTGGACTCTCTATCATACCTGGGTGATTCCTCACGTCTAAATTCATTTTTTTTTTAAAAAAAAAATAATAAATCAACGATGAGCAATATTTCAAAGGTGATCGAGACGCCATATATTATAGTAATGCTTTACCCAACACTTTTACCAAAGCGTTGCTGATTTTTTTTTCATCAATCTCCACAAATGGTTCCTTGGGAGTCGGATACGGAAAATTTGAAAGAGAGCATAGGATGCTTTTTTTTAAATATAAGCGGAACTCGCAAATTGGACAATCAAAATTACCTTGTTCCCATCAATCCTATAGTGAAAGATTTGTATTTTCTGCTCTCTCGCGAATTGATCTAATTCTTCGCGAATGTCATCTGATGAAAGATAACTGTTGCACAATTTTCATGAGATTATGAATAATGAATGAATGGCGCGCGTTCATGGGTCACCAAAAAAACTGACATTATGCTTTTTAGTTCCAATTTTTTAAGAAAAGGGAAATTCTGACGATTTGGGTGCCCGGAACGGTAGACTCCCGGGGCTACCATCGCAAAGTTCAACGGTGGTACCATGACTTTGACTTCTTCGCCGGCATTAGAACTGTTTCTCGGCGAATCGTCGGAATTCGTGGTGGTCGGGACGGTAACAGACGTAAAAGAAATGTTCATGTTATATGCTAAAGAAATGGTTTGTACGATTATGCAGCTTTTTAAGACAAATTAAAGGTTTTATTAATTAAATTAAGATCAAGATTGAATACATACAGTGTATAAAGTTATTTATTAACTGTTTAGTCTAAAGTCATTATGATGATTGTTTATTTTTTCAACTCCATTGTCTACAATCATAACGTTATTATTATTTGTTTCTTGGTAAGACAAATGCATCCGTCTCATCTCTTGTCTCATGCAATGAAACCAAATTTATTATTAATTCAGCGAAAGATCAATTGAAAACCGATACATAAATTCCTAAATTCCAAAGATTTTGAACATTCAACATGTATCCTTTAGGATAGACCAATGACCCCGTGGGAAATTAGTGGTTGAGGGTCATGGTGAGTAAAAAGGAATTTATTATCGTTCGCATAAAAATTATCATCATCCATTGAATTTTAAAGGACGACCACAGAGTGTAGCAAACGAAAAGTTCATGCCATCCCCTAGCCACAATTCACATAATATAGAAACATGCTGATCAGATCAGATGGATGATCACGCACACGCGCAAATTCGAATTCATAGATGTCCAAGTTCCTAGGCCCCGAGAGACGGAGGCCTGATAGTACTCTCCTTGATGAAATTGATAAGGTTCCCTTGTTTATGTCAAGATTGCCGGAAGAAGAGAACGATTCTCTTGCGGCTCTGCAATCTTTGTTATTTGATGGTCCACCTGAAGGTTCGTAAATTGATCCTTTTTTATATTATCCTTTCTCTCATAATAATCCTTTCATGTAGAAATTGCCGAAAATTTCAAGAGACAAGGAAATGAATGTTTTAAAGAGGGTCGAACGAAATATCAAGATGCGATTTCTTTTTACACCAAGGCGTTGGAAACCAATTGCTCAGACAATAAAATTATCGAAGCTTGCCTGGCGAACCGGGCAGCGGTAAACCTGGAATTAGGTAGGCAACGACTTGTTCGAATTTTGAGAAACCACCTATCAAAAAAAATATATTCTTATTTTATACTTTTTTTTTATAGGAAATTTTCGTAAAGTTCTTACAGATTGTGCCAAAGTGATCAACTTAAATTCCACGAATGTTAAAGCATTCTACCGATCCGCAAAAGCTTTATGCGAACTTGACAAGATGGAAGAAGCACTCGATTGCTGTGATCACGGATTGAAGGTATGATGATATGCCCATATTTACCTATTTGTACATTTCGCTTGACATCTAAATACGAAATCAAACCAATGTTTTACAGGTTGAACCAAATAATGTAGCTTTACGTCAACTTAAAGAAACTTGTGTTAAAAAGAAGGAATTGTTGGGTCAAAGGATTCGCATAAAGAAAGAGAACGAGCGAAAAGAAAGAGAAACAAAAGATGCTTTGGAAACAGCATTGAAGGTATCTTATCATATTCTGTTAAGGACTGCTGAACGCCTGAAAATCCCGGAGTGCACGAGTTTGTAATTTTTATTTGAACATCCCAGAAGATATGTGCAAGTTAGAATCTTTCTCATCCTCTTGTTCCCTTTGTTAGGCACGTAACATTGTCATGGTGACAACGAATGACGCCCCGACATCACCGCACTCGGTGCATCTGAATTCTGAAAATCAACTTGTTTGGCCTGTGATGTTTTTATATCCCGAGTACAAGGAATCAGATTTCATCGCTGAGTTCAATGAAGAAAACACGTTTCAAGATCACCTCGACGTCATGTTCGAAAATCCCGCACCTTGGGACGCTTCACACAGGTATAGGCCCGACAACGTTCAAGTTTATCACGAGTACATTTTGACGACGGGTAATGAGGTCAAACCGAAATTACTGAAAATTGGTAACAATTGCACTTTGAAAGAAGTATTGTCCCATCCAAGATGTGTCATTAAAAATGGGATTCCCGGTTTTATTATTTTATCGGGTAAAGGTAAATTTAGTGATGATTTTCTGTCAGGTTATAAATGACTACTAAACTTATTATGACATAAAGTATGCTTTGAAGAAAAAAAATACACAAAAATGGATATTAAGTATTATATATTATTTTGAACCGTTCTCTTGGTTTTTTTGTCGTTCGGCTTTTTCGAATAGTGACAAGATGAAATTTTGTTTATCCTGGTCAAGATTTTCCGTGAGTAGGGAGTATGACGTTGGGTAATGTTGTTGTACGCCTATTGGTCGTTAAAATACGAATGTACCAAATAAGCAAAGCAGATGCATCTGAAAGTAGTTGAAAAAAAAAAAACAGACGTACCCACAAAAGTTTCCTGAAATCTTGTGTATACATCTAATTTATCTAAAGGTGATTCAAAGAAGAGCTCCTCTTCCAAGACTTCTTCTTCTTCTTCTTCACCTCGATTCTTCTTATCAGCCTGAAATTACCACAAATGAATTAATTTAACAAGCATTATTTTTATCTTCTCGATAAACGCGCGTATGTCCTATTACCTCTCGCGCTAAATATTCCAAATATTGCGTGTCTTCATCAATTATATTCTCGTCACCTTCCATTTGAAAAGATTTATCATGAAATGAAGCAATAGTGGGCCACCAATAGAATGAAAGTTCAGCCCTTCACTCACCCTGATCGTCATCTTCCACTTCATCATTAAGTTCCGAAGAGTTAAAATCATCTTCCAGAGAATCATCGCCATCTGTACCTGCTTTTTCCATACGCTGTCGATCTGTTGACGAAACGAAGAGATCATGTGAAGATCTCATCAAGCGGACAATAACGTTTTTCGGACGAATGTTATGAACTTACTCTCTTCAGCCTTTGACAATGTTTTAAAAACTGTCAGGATGCCATCTAATACCTGTGGCCAACCAGCTTGCAAAGCTTGCGGTAACTGTTCGACTGGCATTTCAATCAGGGCACAAAGGGCGACGATAACAAGCTTTTTGTCGTGAACACGCGAAAACTTGTTAATATTCTCAAACCATAACGTGAAGAATGCCTGAGTCATTCCGCATTTTTCGAGATGATGAATGGTAATACGTGGGCTATAATAGAGGCAATTTATGACCTGGAGTTTTTTTTTCAATAAGGTGTCATTAAAAACATTTTTCGATGGAAAAAGAATATTGCAAATTTAAAAATGTTCTTACGGCTTCGATACAATGAATCCTGAAAGGGATACTTGTGATTTTTTTTACGTCAGACAAATAATGAAGAGAGAGATCAAGAAACGGTTCGACGAACTAACGAAAAAAAAAAAAAAAACAGAGATGAACAAATCCCATGGCTTAAATAAGTCAATATATAACAATAATAATACCTGGTCTACATATCCGCGACAGTTCAACAATACGGATTCAATCAACTTGCAAGCACAAATGCGATCATTTTCATTCAGGCGATCGCTTTTCATGACCTATCCATAATAATTGAATCCGGTTAAGGGAGTATTTATATTTTAGGAATGGATGAAATAAAGAGAAACCTTACGGTGTCTATAATATCATGTATCATTGCCGGGAATTTGGCATTTTGCAAAAACGCTTGAGTGCCATAAGATATAAAATTATCCAATGAAGGAAGCATCTCTGAAAAGTGGAAAATAATTACTTCGAAGTGATCTGTTACATTGACAATTGCCGACTTTGCATAATATACCTTCAATATAATCTATTCCAGATTCTGTGCCATCTCCCTTAAAGGTATTGTAAATCAATTCGAACACTCCCCACATTGTGGGGGAAATTTGTTTTGTGGAGAAAGTACAACTATCAATAATATCAAAAACATCATCATACAATTCTGAATAAGATGACGGAGTGAAATGTCAGGGTTAAAATATGGTTACATGAAAATGCGCTAGTCAAAAATCAGTAATTACGACTTTTGAGTAGGCAATATATACGCGCATTATTCTTTCTACTTCTCACCAGCGATTGTATTTTTCAACGTGAAGCTAATAATGGGTAAGAGCACATTCTCCAATTGAGACAAAACTTCGGGTGTACTCTCTAGATTTAAGATCAGAGTAGTAATGGTTTTGAGCACTCCTGTGGCGGCCATTGTTTTTTCACTTATTTCCATATCTTCGGGGGAATCGATATCTTCTGCAGGAGCATCCTGAAAGTCTTGCATTATCCGAAGGAAAGTATCTCTCTATATTTATAAGAACATCAGTATTGAAATTTTGATCATGACCTTACACCCTTTCGTTTCACCAAATGAGACGTACTAGTTGTTCACACAATTGAGCAGCGAAAGGGCTCAATTCCTCTGCAAAGACTTCAACGAATTCTTCCATTACAGTAGATAGAGTGTCACTATCAATCTGATTCGTGAGTTCAAGCAATTCTATTTATACAAATGTTGAGAAGTTCAATATTCACATGAAACCGGCAGGACGAAATAATGTAAATTCATTTTACTTTGCATTATAATTGGTAGATCAGGTATTAAAGCGGTGCGTACTAGTCGAATAAAGAGGGATTAGCAAAAAGTATTTCATTAATGTTCAACGGGTCAGCGTGAGAAAGGTAGACGTTACCAGATTCGTGACGCATTAGGCATTGCAAGGCCAAGCACGCTTGAACTTTTACCGGGAGTTCAGAATCGCTCATACAAATTGTGACGCCTTGAAACGCGGTGGCAAGACTGGACTCATGTTCAAAATCCAATTCGTCAAATTTTACAAGCATGTCACACGCCTATTGATTACCACAAATTCAATAAGTTTAAAAAAATTGAAATTAAAAAAATCACGTAGTTGAAATTTTTGTTTACTCTTGCTCTCAAATAAGGGTATTGACTTGAGAACTCCGGAAAAATGTGATTCAAGAAAATTCCCTCCATTAGGTGTGCAACACCGTATTTTTTACGGAGAACCATGTCAGACAAACAGCCAAGCATCTTAAGGGCACCATCTTTCTGTCGCGGATTTTGATTCTCCGGGGTAGCCGAAAGATAAGTTGTGAGTATTGTGTTGATGAACCCCATTATTCCCATGAATGTATATCTTTTCCTATGTCGTGCCAGGTCCATCAGGAAAGTTATAGCTGCCACAGATGGTGACGTAAAGTCCTCCAGGAAATCCATTTTTTTGTGTATATACTCAACAGGATCCTCAACCCACAATTCTTCATCTTCATCAGAAAAACACAATTGCGGAAATATGAATTGAGAGACCAATGTTTCTGTATGAGGCTTAATAATTTGCCATGTAATTTTTTGGGTAATCCTACATGAGTTTTTGATCGCAGGTTAATTTCATGAACCATAGTGGTTGTGCTTCGTTCGTTAATTAGCATTATGACTTCAAAGCTTACGCGTCTTTAAAAAAGTCCGAACAAAAATAAAGAATTTTATCGCTTAGCCATATTTCGCGTTTAATCCAACGCTCAACTTGACGCAGATATGTCTGAAGAATCTGCGGTCCAAAATGATGTACAAATTTTTCCGCGAATGCATTATATTTCGTGGATGATGTCGCGAGTTGTGCAGGATTTCCATATCTTGAAAAAATCCTATTCAAATTTTTGCATGCCCATCTCTGGGTTTTAAACCAAATAAATCTTTGCCGCTCTTCGATGTCTGTGGGTATTATCTCTTGAGGAATATGCTTTTCAAACAATTGCAACATTAATGTGATCCACGGTACAATCGAAGAATCCTCTTGAAGCGGCTTATGAAGTTCATACTAAAGTTCGACGCAAAGACATGCATCAATAACGTAAGAATGAAATTTTTGATGATTATAAATTACCAGTTCTTACTTGTGTTGCAGAATTGTAAATCTTCACAACAATTCTTAGCATTTCGGCTGCCTCCAAGCTAATTTCATTATGTAAATTTTGCGCTATGTGCAAAATAATGGGAAAAGTTTGTTGGACTATTTCCAAAAGGGGTATATTACTTTCACTGGCTTTCCACCTAATAAACGGAACCAATTTAGTCAACAAAAATAATTTTTATTGACGATTATTGATTCGAGTTCGTTTTTGTTTTTTTTTGTTGATTGCCACTTACTGATAAACTTTAACAACCTGCCGTAACGCCAATAGTCCTATATACACGTAATTTAAATCATTTGATGATAGGAGGGCATTCACTTGAGTCATAAAATCTGGCCATTTTTCGGGATAATCGTTGGAAAGGACTCTACCCAGCGAGTCGATAAGCTGTAACCTAATAATTACAGGATAGATGAGTCACAAGTCAACATTATTACGACATTATTTTAATCCGTGTTTTACCTTACGGCATTAGGTACTTCTAGTAATACGCGCAGTATGCTTCCTTTAAACTGTTCACGATCTTGAGGGTCAATGGGTACAATATTTGATGACTTAGAGTCTTCGTATTCCCACGAGGTTCGAACTCGGTTTTTCAGGTAAATAGAAACTATATGAGAATAGAATTTCGTGAGCATTAATTAAACCCTTAGTAAAGTTCTTTTATCAAGTAGAACAGTGTACATACTGGCTTGACTCGTTGCAAGTTCGGTCTCTTGAGATACGAGTATTTGAAGAAGCACAGAAATGAAGCCCGGTGTTGCCTCTACCTTAAGAAGTCCGCAAGGAAATGAATATCAAATCTTTATAACTTGTGAATTCACAAGGCGTGTCCCTTTATTAACCTGCTTTAATTGCAATTCGGCTTGTTTCTGTACGCTCGAGTCCGAGTGATACGTGGAGCTAAAAAGTTTATAAACATGGTGAAAATCCATTGTCGACCTTCAGTGCTCTCTCTCTCTTTTCAAACCTTATGATGATCAAGATCGATAAATCACGAAATAAATAAAATAACAATGCCTCCCAAATCAGGATTGATTAACTCATCAGAATAAAAAAAAAATAGTTTATATGAAAAAGTAAATATTATTATTACATAACTTTATTTTTAAGTTTTTAGATATTAAACACCAAACAATATTACTATTTTTTTTTAGAAATTTTTTTTTATCAATCTTATTTTTAAATTAATATATGAAATTTGAAGTGAATTTTATTAATTAATTTTATGATGATTTGTATTAAAAAATTTTTTTAATTTGTAATGTTTGATACAAAATAAAAAAAAAAACATAATAATAATAATATATTTATTTATTTATTTATTTATAGTATTATGATTTTTTTTAATATTATTTAGTTACATTTTTTTTAAAAAATATGATTGGTAGAAATACAGTACATATATATTTGAGAAATTATCTGATCTCAATTATACAGTTCGGACGGTCATATTTGCCCAATCTATGCATTCCAACGATGATAGCTCACTTGGCGAAAGTGACTCGCAAGCAAATCAGATAGAATCAAATGAGGAAGAGGCTTTGGATGAGAGGAGCAAAAGGCGAAAAAAGTAAATCAGTCGGAAATCCAGATTTTAATTTTTTGAATCGTTTTTGATCCCGTTCCTTCCGTACGATAAATATCAATAAATTCAATAGACTTGCAGCCTCGGCTACGGCAAATTATCATGTCGGAACTCATTTGAAGTGTATAAAACCAACAGAAGATATTTTCAATCCCGAAGATCCGAAAATTCGTGAGGTACGAATGTTGATTCTTGGCGTTTAATGACAATTGCTAATTTACGATTTAACGTTTAGGACATAATTCGAATGGTAATTCAATATCTTTCTGACGAAGGTTATACCGCTTCAAAAATGACCATTTACGATGAAGCGAACGTGAAGTGGCACGAAAGAGAAGAGCGTGTTGTGGAACTCAAACGATTAAAAAAAGCAGTACTTGGTAATTCAAATATTCTAGTCGATAACTGTTTTCACCGATTTCTTGTTTCTAGTTGTCAGAATGCTTTTTAAATCACAGATGGCGATTGGACTGAGGTCGATAAGCTTTGTGTGAAACCCTTGGTTAAGAATCATAAGAGCTTCTTGTATGCTGTTTACAAGCAACAATATCTCGAGCATATCGAGAATCAGGAAATCCAAAAGGTTCACGATACATATATGCATCCATTTTTTTATCAATAAATGAAGCTTACCCATTTTTTTGTAATTGGAATTCTTAGGCGTTCACTTTCCTGAATAAAAGGTTGAAACCACTCGAGCATCTTCAAATGACTCCCAATGAATTTAAAGATTTGTGTTACTTGTTGACAGCGAAATCTGTACGCGACGCGCCATCGTTCAGAAATTGGGAAGGGATTGGCCCTGCGAGGTAGACAACCCATTTTATTATTACACGATAACCTCGGATTATTAAATAACATCATTTTGATATTGATGCAGAGAAAGATTGGTTGAACAATTCCAGAATATGCTTAATTTTGAGAACACGGATAAGGATGGTACGCATTAAACAAAAATTCGAGCAACCCTGACATTGCAAAGTTTTCATGCAACTCTTCAATAAGTCTGTGGAAAATAGCAGAAACATTCAATGATTTCTCACCGAGAAAGGTTCCATATACGTACCTCCCAATCGTCTCCTTGCACTGCTTCGTCAAGCCGTCGCTTATCAAATTGAATTCTCACGATATCACCCCCGCGTAGCACCGCGGGTGAACACGTAAGTAAACAAATGTTCTTTAGATCATTCATCGATATTTTCTTTAATAAAAACAGAAGGATCTTAATTATTTTGTGTTGTACTCAGACTACTACAAGATTACAGCAGCTTCGTCATACCCAATGCAACACATGCGACACTGATTGGGCATCGTGGTAATGTAAAGTGCGTCGATTTTATTGGGGAAGAAGGTCGTGAAATTGTTAGTGGCTCCAGGTAAGCACATATTCTCTTGACTTATAATTTCTGATTGGTTTGATTTTAATAAATCATTCTCGTACAGCGATAATACCCTAAGACTATGGGATACTGAAACTTCGAAAGAAATCGGCATTTTGAAAGGTCATGATTCTCGTATTTGGGATGTTTCCTCCAATAAAAATGGAACCATCATTTCTAGCGCAAGCGGCGACGGAACGGTTAAGGTTTGTTTTTGTGAAACAACTTTCTTTTTGAAATTGCATCGTAAATTAACTTTTCTTAGTTATGGGACATAAAAGCAAACCAGAATTCATGTCTGTCTTCCTTGTCTGGACATTCGGGTGATGTTTATACAGTCAAATTCCATCCCGGAGATGTAAGCACTTATTAATCGACCGTCTGATTACTATCGAGTCTTATGATTAGAATGGAATGATTTATGATATATGTTTTCATATAAGAATAATGTGGTTACAGGAGGTTACGACAAGATCATAAGACTCTATGATATCTCAACTGGTCAATTGGTAAAAATGTTTACCGGTCACCAATTGTCTGTATCAAAAACTATTTTCAATCCTCTGGGTAATTTGATAATCAGTGGGTAAGCGTCTTTACGTTAAATTGCTTCATTGTGCGTAATAAAAATTTCCTCACTGATCGGTAATTTCATGTTGAAGTTCAAAGGATCATACAATAAAATTTTGGGATATTGTGTCGGGATTATGCATAAAAACAATATCTTCTCATTTAGGCGAAGTGACCTCGGTCGCGATGAACTCTAATGGTACTTATTTATTAAGCAGTTCAAAGGATAATTCCAATAGATTATGGGATGTTCGAAAGGCAAGTAATGTCTCTTTTTGTAATCGAACTCTAACGATAATTGACATTTTAAAATTGAATTAAAATAATAATAGGTGCGTCCTATTAAAAGATTGAAAGGGCACCAAAACACTTCAAAGAATTTTATTAGGGCCGGATTCGTAAATAATTCTTTAATTGTTGGCGGATCCGAGGTAATCATACAAGTTTATTTGGAAATATAACCGAGTTTTTTCACTTATTCACTGTTTTTAATTAGGACGGTATTGTATATATTTGGGACCAAGATACCGAAGAAGTTTTGCAGAAATTAAGAGGTCACAACGGCATGGTTTACGATGCCATCTGGAATTCTAAGCAATGCCTACTAGTTAGTTGTAGTGACGACAAAACGCTAAAAACTTGGTGGTACGATGAAGACCTCCCGTTAGAATTGTAAAAGTATTTTTGTATATTATTATTCGAAAATTTATGTAGGACGTGAGAAAATTGTAACCCCCAATACGAGAGATAAAAAGATGCTATATTTTATTAAGATTCTCATTCCGAAAGGAGATTAAGACTCGTAAAATTACACATTCATATAGTATACCTCGAATGATAATGTAAATATACAACTTATGGTTCTAATACAACTTTTCCAGAGCATCCACTAATATGTTCATATCGCTCTTGATACTGTGAGCGTATCTCAATATTCTCTCCTGGAAGTCAATTAACACGTTCATTAGCACATGATTGTAAAATCAAAAATAAATCAAAAAATACTTTATTAACCTGATTATCCAAAACCTCGATACTCTCAGTATAAGGATTATATCGTATGGAAAAAGGTCTATTCAATGTCTTTGCAAATTCGCGCACTTTTTGCTTAGCATCCTTAAAGGATTCCGCAACAAAATAAATCTTTAGGTACAGAAAAAAATATTAAAATCGAGTTAGCAAAATTCAAAATGCCAAACAAGTGGAACATGGAAACTGACGGGTTGGTATTCAGTCACGATATATGATTGCACCGAGGTTTTGTAAGGGTCGAATGGCAATTTTTCCGGCTTATCGGTTAGTGAATACTAAAATCAAGTGATTATGAGTAATTGCTTGTTGAATCGCACATGTAGATATTGTGACGTTTCCTTACTTCCAGTTCGCCAAATGAAGATAGCAATCCTGCACCATATGCTTTAATTTCGCCACCTTGACGGCATAAGCCAAATTCAACCGTAAACCAATATATCTAGGAAAAAGAATATAGTTTTCTATTCATATATCATTATTGATGTTAAACTAATAACAAGAAATACCGTGGCTAGTTTTTCTAAATCACTGTCGCTAGCTCCTAATGAAACCAGTCCAATTTCCTTTATATATATACATATATATATATATATTTTAAAAAAAATGACGTTAATAATCCGAAAACGACCTGAGATTCGGGATCCAGAATAACACAATAAATTTTTCACCTGAGAAAAATCTGCAAAATCCGGATCGCAAAATAAAGGTGCCTTTAAATGTAAATTGTATAGTTGAATTGGTTTCAAATCAAAATGAGACCTGGCAATTCGTAGATGTATTCACTTACATGCCCAAGTAATTCGTGGCACACATCTCTAAGGTAGGTTATAGATATCTGTGATTGAAATGTCTAAAAATAAGAATCCCAATTCATGATATATACTTACGGCTCCGGAGTATAGAGCGGCTTAGAATGGTGACGAATGTATTGCGTCGAATGGAAGACGCGAAAAGCAAGACCGTTGAGGAAATCCCGAGATGTAAGTAATCCCATGACCGGGCGAAGAGTGAAACCCGTGCAGTCTAAGGAACATGGAAATATTATATAGCGCCCGAGAAATCATGATGTTTACTATCAATGTTTGATAAAAATCACCTTTCAAAAATCTGGAAACAGTCTCTAGCTGTGGAATGTTATCTTCCCTATAACCGCAATTCTGAATTAACAAAGGAAACACGTATTGATGTTCTTTGCATGCATGAGTTGGATACAAGGCTACCAGGTTGCGAAAAATAACGCCCCACGTAGCAATTTCTTCAGGAGTATATTCAATGGTAGGAAGAGGTAGACCATGACGATGCGTTTTTGCAACTCGAGTAATTTCTGCGCGTCGCGCTCTGTAGACCGGATCCTTTGCACCCGGATGATCAGAATCTGTGTATAACAATGTAAAATTGCAATTAGTTATTAACTGACATAATTTTCACGACAATTGAGAGCATAGAATTACCAAGCTCTTCTCCCATTTCCAAAACTTTATCAGCAAAAGTATCGAGATCCGATTTTTTACGTGGGAACCATGGAATATGATCTTGAATGAAAACGAAAAAACATTTATGAACTAATTTCAAACAATAGTCAACTGTAAATGAATATAAAATAAAATAAGAAAGGTTACCTGCCAAGGTATGTGTAGTATTGGAGCTAATGACTTTTACTTGTTTCGTAATTTTCTCCAGACTTTGAACCGCGCGAGTAAGTTGTTCAGCATTTTCTGCTTTAAAGTCTATAAAGAAATCATAATCCCAGCCAGGATTCTTACTAGGACGACTTCAACAAAGTAAAAGAATAAAAATTTATAACTATAGTGATTACGCGAAAAAACAATCGCTCATAATAATTACCTTTCAATTCTCGTTAATGAAATATTTAAATTCTTGACGGCTGATAAACATCCATCCAGAACACCGACGCGGTCCTCAACACTAAAAAGAATGGTGGTGAGAAATGGGGCCGATTCGCCGGCATTATAAGTATTCGTTACTTCAGAATACATCTTGTCACTAATTGAGATAAGAGTTCAAAAAGCTGGAAGCTTATACGGTATGTAAACAATAAGTACATACTGATTGTTATTTTTAATAATAGTAATTATATAGGTTATTGATGGCGATGAATGTTGAATTATTATTATTACATCATTGTTAGTGATTCAATGTTCTTTATAAAGTATAAATAAGGTCTCGTTTTCTTATGTTTGAGCAAGATAATGTCAGCAACAAAAGCACACAAAAGCACAAGAGATAGATAAACATAGGAAATTTTATCAAGAAAGGATAAATGAAAAGAAAAATATCCATCACGCAAGGATCAGCTCAGAGAGGATTTTTACAGGTAATGCGAGTACCTCCGGCAAAAAATGTCCTGACCACGAACTCATCAAAAACATTGGGTCAGGTCTCAACTGGAAATGCAAGTGCTTCACATCCATTTTGGAACAATCGTACCAAGGAGATATCGAGAAGGTTATGGTTACCAGGAAGGATCGGCTCTGCAGATTTGCGTATGAGCTTATTAAATGGATTCTTGACAAGAACAGTACAAAGATCGTAATACTCGGTTCGGATTCAACGTTGATAACACTGAATTTGGTAAGCTTGCCGAGAACCTATTATCAATTATTGCCATCTTTACAACAAGACACAATGGGCTCAGCTGGAAACTGGAAACTGAAAACACAAAAGATACGGATTTATCCAATACTCGAAGAGAAAAGCTAAGAAAGAGGATGGGAGTCATGAGATGGACGTACAACAAGATCCTTAAGATGGTGCAGAATAATGGAATCACCGACATATGAGCATCATACGAAAGCGCTACTGAAGAACTCCTCTGGGTAAAAGAGACCCCTAGGGAAGTATGTTCGTACGCGATTCGACAATTGATGGTCGCATACAAAACAAATAAGAAATTGCATGGAAATAATTTTCGAAAAGAAGGATCGAATGCAAACAATTTTGATTCTTGCTAGGGATTGAAATAGGAATAGAGAAAAATATGTGTTTCTTAAAAAATTTATCACCTCAAAACAATTACCCGATATTAACAATACGGCTACATAACTATGAATCATCTAGGTTATTTTTATTTATGTTTCCATTCTTTTGGATATTATTGATAACCAAAATGATGTTTTGGGAAAAGTAATCTCGCTCGATCCAGGTGTTCGCACGTTTATACGGTTATGACCCTGGTGGTCAATTAATCAAGTAGGGTAATGATGATTTTAAAAATCTTTAAATTAAGAAATATGACAAATTACAGAATAACAAAAATCTTGCTTTGAGAAGAACAAACAAGAGAAAGAGATTCCACAAATCATACAACAAGTCTGTAATTTAATCGATGAGTGCCATCTTCAGCTGGCCCATTTGTTATGTCAAGATCATTCTTTACCCAAGTTCGAGTTTTTGAGGATGATTTTTTAAAACAAGCGAAAAATTCGATCAAAAACTGCTCGTGTGATGCTAACTTCATCGCATTTCAGGTTTCGGATGTTCTTACATCAAGTTGAGGGAGTTCAGAGGTTGCAAGTATACATCAAAAGATGTGTGGGAATTATGGATTCGTAAAAAATAATCTCGATGGATCAAAAATGTTTGAATGTGATTTGTGCAAGGTGGAGATGGATCGGGACGTGAATGGTATCGAGAAATATCTTGCTCAAATACAGTATTTAGTGGAGAGTCGGGTTTTGGCCTGATTTTGTGACTTTTTTTTTGAACCTATGAGATACGATATACATAGTAAAGACTAACTTTATTTCAAGGGCTGATTTTCACCCGATTTATGTGACAATAGAATTGTACTAATTTTATTCACACGTGCGTGGTTAACAGACAATTAAGTATTATATAAAACAAAATATACAGTGTTTAATTCCCTTTTTCAAAACAAAAATGGTTTTTCAAATGTATTGAAATTATTTTTGGAAGCTCTTAATAATGCACAAATTTCAGATCAATTTTTTTTCAATTGAATAAATCTTTGATTTTTCTAATGTTTTGTAATATTGTTAAACTTTGCTTTTTATTATTTAATAAAAAAATTAATACTTGCAAGTAATATAAAATATAAAAAATCAATTGATTTTTATTTTATTTAATTGATTGTTCATATATAAATAAATAATAATTGTTTATATTTTTAATGATACAAAGTATTTAATAGATTATATATATACAGTATATATTAAAAAATTAAAATATTAAATTAAAAATAAGTTTCAAATTTATTTAATATATAAATTCTATAAATTAATTATATATTTTTTAAAAGATATAAATATTTATTTATTACTTTAATAATAATATTATTTTAAAAAACACTTGAAATAAATAATCTAAATTATAAATAATTTTTACAAATAATTTTTTTTTTTTTGATTTTATATTTTTATAAAAATTATCTTTATATTAAAAACGACTTTTAATCTAATTATCAATAAAATTATATCATTTATAATCAATCAAATAAATTTTAAAAATAAATAATAGTAGAATTTTAAATTATTTTGCTTTAATACTTTTTAAATTACAAGTAATAATAAAAAATATCAAATACTCTATTGCTTTTCTAATTTTTAAAAAATATTGAATTTTATTTTAATACCAATATCAAATTATAAAGTATTAAATTTTATTTATAATATTTTTGATTAATTTAATTTAATTATTATTTTCTAAATTATATATATAATATATAAAAATTTGATAAATTAAATAACTTAAAAATTTTATTAAAAATATATGTATCTATGTTAATTTATAATTAAAAATTATTTTTTGTAAATTTGATATTTATCAAATAAGTTAATAACAATATTTAGAATAAATTAAATAAAATACTTTTATAAAGAAAATTGATTACTTATATTACACAAAATTGATTTACTAATAAATATATTAATAAAGAAATGTTTTGTAAGTGATATATATTTTTAAAAATGTATATAAAATATTTAATCAATTAAAAAATAAAATTATAATCACAAACATTATCATTGCAAAGTTATTATATAATATATTGCAACTAATTATTTGAAATTTAATTTATATATATATATACAGTAGTAATCATAGTATTGTATCACAAATCAATTTTTATATTAAAAAATAATAATTTTGAAATTTCTATGCTATAATAAAAGTCTATTTTTGGATTCTTAAAAAAAAAGTAAAAAATTTCTACAAGTGTTAAATATAATTTTTTTTTCAATCAGAATTCTTTTTTAATAGTAAAAAAATAGACTTTATTATAGCACACAAATTTTAATTTTTACTATCTTTTAATATAAAAATTGATTTGTAATGCAATACTTTTGATCGTCACTGTCATATACAATCATATTTTTATTTATTTGATTGTAATTGATTAGTTAGTGTAGAACGTTATAAATATAATTTTACTATATTAAATTATTTTAATGCTCTTTTTAAAAAATAACTCTTAATAAAATATGACATTTTATCGCAATGTAAATCTCCGCAATATATTTCAGTAAAAACCCAAGGACAAAAGGTAATGTTTATTAATTATATACATATAAATATTTATAACATACGCAAAGCATTTATTAAATTCTATACATCATTTTGCAAGCCGGTGTAATAATAATAATGTAAAGATCATATCAACCTTTAAATCTACTTATAGAAAAAGAAGCTCTTTTTGAATAAAGAATATCTTCCAATCTAAATTCATATAAATGAAAAGATCTAGTGAATGAATATTTAATGTT